TTTCATTTTTTACTGTTGAAAATTTTGAGCATATATAAATTACACTATTATGAACTATAAATAAAAAATATTTAGTTTATACAATTTTGACTTAACTTTATCGTGAAGAAGAGAAAAGTCATATCATCTTTAATGTTTGTTACGAGTTTACATCTTAATTATAACCTGATTTTATCAGAATACTAATGAGTCACTATTATATATATTGTAACTTATTATTATTAATACCAAATATATCTCACGTTATAGAAGATGAAAAGATTTAAAGCTTAGTAATGAAGTTTGTTGCAGCTATTGAAATGGAAAAAAATAGCTGCTTTACCATGCTAGTTATCGGGAATGGTAGATAAATTCAGTAAGTTATCGATTTTTTTTTAACGGGTTTAATTTTGAAAATAAAACTTCCGTATTTTTTCGAAAGAAAATGTTTCTCATTTGTTTACCTTAACGTTCTTACCAATATGCATCAAGATTGATAATCCTATAACTAGACACAATTCAAATTAGTTAATCCTGATTGAAAAATTTCAGACATTTTTAATTCAATTATTAGGTAATATTCAAATACATTTATTTTATTTGTTATGAAGTTAATAACGCCATTCCAATATCCTTCAAAATACTCTTTTGAGTATCTCTCAATTAGTTAAATTTTCTAACTGTTTTTGGTCTCATAACAGTCATATTAATGTATCTACAAAATGCTGAAATTGCAGTGAGATAAATTATTTTTGCAAACTAGGGTATGAATTTTAATTTTGCTAAATGTTATGATCCGTTTAAATTAAACTGTATAAGTACAAATCACTTTTACTGGGACGAATTAGATTGAAATTTTTCTAAGCGAATACGGTTTCTCGTTATATGCTAGAAGTTTTAATATGAAAAAAAATTCTGTCGACTTTTTAAATCTCAAATACGATTTTCAGTCAAAACCGTTATCATAAATTTTGCATAATGAAATGTCTTTTTAATTAATATAAAAAGCCGGAAAAAAATATTGCAAGAAAGAGCTGTTTTCAATATTATTAGGTAGCAATATGTTTGATAAGAAATCAAACATTCATATCTGAACTAGCGTGTTATCGAGATACGTAACGTGCATTCATTATTGCAATATGTTGAAATTACTGTTTGTACTTCAGTCGGTTGTTAGTCGGTTAGTCTATAAATCATCAAAGTTCATACTGAATCATAATTACAACTAACGTAAACGCTATAGTTTACGAGTTCAAAGTAATATGCAGCAACGTAACAATTTAGCATATTTTGATGCAAAACTCCGCCGAATCATATTTATTTAGTGTTTTGTGAGTAGGGGAGACTGGGTACGGTTGTACCACTTTTTTATGGAATGGTAGTTTGAACATTTTTCTACGTGGAAATACTGAAATTTCGTCCTTGAATACGATGAATTAGTCACATAATCAAATCATCCAAAAAGATGGCGCGTGTCACAACCGTCCATACCCAAAGACAATAGGTATGAACAACAAAATGGTTTATAACGACTTTTATTGTGAGAAATATGTAGCTCAACACAACATAATCATTTAAACAAAGCTTATGAATATAATATAACAATATATAACAAAACATAATTTTTTATACAGATTTAACTGAATCAGAAATTTTATTTCTTCTATTCAATTTCTCTCTTTTCTTTTCTTACTTAATTTTCCTACTTAAGTTTTATTTTTCTTTATCTGTTTAATATTCACCAAAAAGGTACAAGACCCACAACCACATAGTTGTGATTGAAGGCCCGATTCTGCCGCATAACAGACCAATGTTCTGGCAAGGCTCTGCTATGAAAAACTTTCCATACTAATTTGTTATGAATATTGACAAAAGCCATGTGGTTGTAGTGCAGTCTGTCATTTTTCTAAAGTTGTCATATCGAAAACCGAACCCAGAAATCGCACAAATATAAAAAAAACGATCTAAAATGACATGGTCTTTTTGACCCAGCTTCATACCATACAAGTGACGTTGCAGTTTATGTGCAATACGCCTGAATGCACAGCAAATACATGACATTTTGACAGTGTTCAGTATGATTCAGTAACATAATGTATGGAAGTTGGAGCGTAACATGGCCTTGCCAGATGGTTGGTCTGTTGCGCGGCAGAATCGCCACATGAGCTAAATTATCTGCGCAAAAAATAATTGCTGGTGATTATTAATTTACTACTAATGTTCAAGCAAAATAACAATCAAAGTAAGCTATCTTAATACAAGCACCTATTATCATTAAAAGAAATCGAACAAAGAGACTTCCTTTTGACTCTTGAAAAGTAATGCGGTCTAGAGATCATGTTAATGTAGGATGCAGACTAAATGCAATAATGGGAGCATGTTAAAACAAACAAACAAATGTCAAAATCACTATAGTTTTGCTGCTATGGCGACTTTTACTACCGTATTCTGGCACAACCGTACCCAGCCTCTCCTACTATGTACAACAGGAGTCGTCTAGCTGCTGTAATCGGGCCTAATTTGGTTCTGATTATATATAAAAATTTATCTGAAAATAAATTAATACGACGTCATTTCAATTATCAAAATTTTCTGTTTTGGTCATTCAAAATAATATTTTTTTAACAATTAAATAATACAAAGTTAATAGCGCTATGATTCACAGTCGGATTCAAAGTTATTTTTTTTTCTGAATCAATCACAACTCTTAGCCATTGTTATTTAAAGTTTTTCTTTATTTTCTTATATGTAAATTGATTTGGATTAGCAATTTAAATCGCAATATGAAATTTTTTAAGCTAAAAATTTTGATTTGCCGAAGATTGTTTCATTCAATTTTATAAAATGACAGGGCCATAAATTAGCGGAATGACTACTCGTCATTGTGCGAATTAAACATGTGGTTTTGATAGTAGTTCAAAGTTCATAAATTTGGATACAAGATACAAGTAGTTGTGCTTATGTTAATATTCTGTGGAAAATATTTAAAAAGATAAAAAATGTTTTAATCTCAGACGAAGAATAGTCAATACACATTAGCAATACTTTATTAATTATTACTTTTAATTTATACTTTAATAATTACACTTTTTTATTTCTATTACTTGTGATGTTAACATGACAAGATGTAAAACCCTCGTGTAAAAAGTTTAATAAGTGTTATGAAAATCCTTTTATATCCTAGATCCTTTTATAAATGATCTTTTTTGTCAAAGCAAAAACAAATATTTTGAAGTTTTGAAAAATAGTGAGTGAAATTAGATGAAATATGATAAATATAGTTTAAATTATCCATATTAACGTAAGCTAGTTTTTACTTCTATTTGTTTCATGGGTGATCTTGTGGAACCATTTTATCGAGAATGCGCAATTATACGCGGTACCAGCACAATTATCATAACCATCACTTGTATTAAAAAGATTATTTTCAGCTAACCATTGAAAAAGACATTCCATTATTTTGTTATAATAATTTTACGGTATACTGATAATATTGATTTTACTCCATGATTATAATTATTTATTTGTTCATTTTGGGATAATAAGTAGACTATAGAACGTATTTTCTTTTTTTATGAAGTTTTGACTTTTCCAATATCCAAAACTGAATTGATCACAGTAATATACGTATAAAATATAAGAACATGATCTTATACGATCAAACTGGGTAAGATGTGCGTTTACATGCAGCTCCTGACTCAAGTACTTCTTGTTTTATAATTGCAGTTCAAAAAGTATGAATCATATCTCCTGGAAGGAAATAAATATTTTAGCCAAATATTTAGCCTCAAGAAATAGTAGATACACAAAGTAATGTATGTAGGTAAAATATGTGGAAGTATCTTTGACAGAATCGAAAATGTATTGTACGACAACAACGCTCCAGAAAATCGATATCGATAAAAAATAGGAAAAAATGAAACAATTGATTTTATATCTCTTTGTGGTATATTGAAGCACGTAACTCTATGAAGTTATGAATGGAAAGTTGTCAAGGTATATAAGGCGATAGATGCTCAGATCTGCACATTCAGTTGTGTTCAATTCCAATAAGCGAAACACTAACTGCAATAAGGTATGTAGAGAAAAATCTCAATCGAGTTAAAAGTGAATATAAAGTAATCCGTAATGAATGCAAATCGATTGCAAAAAGTGAAATACTTCAAATATTTAATCATGTGGAAAATTAATAATTATAAAAATAGTGATTATATTACCAGTTAAATAGATAATTTAATGCTTATAATGCGGATTATTAATTAGTATTGTTAATAATGATCGATATAAATATAGTATGTGCTAGTATAAATTCAAAAACTTAATATTGTCCATACCATTTCATTTATTAAATATTTTCAGTACTACTGATGACTTTTGTTTAGTGTCGATATGTTTTGCAAAATTATAAACTATCGTATAACAACTACATATTTGAGTGTTTTTTTGTGGAATGAATCAGAATGTGAAATATGTAGCCTGATTTGTCCCTTAAATATTTTAAAATCATAAAAAGTTGATTTTTTTATTTTGGCGATTATTTATAAAAATATGTATTACTAAGATGAAACTAAATTATTTTGCAGCTTGTGAAACTAAGTAAACATTAGCAACTATATTAGAAAAAAATCAAACTCTAATGGGCATATATAAATTGCTTAGAGGAGTAATCGTAAATTGATAAGCATTTGAACTGTAACATTATTAATTACTCTTGTACTACTTTTTAAGTTTTAATTGTTATAGTTGTATTGTTAATAATTACTTTTTTTATTATTACTGAAATATTTCATCGTAGTATTACAATTATATATTTGTACTAATTTCATTTTGCTTATTTATTAACTTATTTTCATTATTAATTATATTTGCCTAAAATAATAATCAAGAGAGGGGAATCAATGATATACGGTGCTATCACTCCATGAACTTCCTTTCAGACAGAAAGATATTATATATCTTATTACTATTTACTTAGATCGATCAATAAAAGTAATTGAATAAATTAAATAATTTGTTTCTAGATGATGGTTCCAGTTATACTTCTATCACTGCTTATAAGCACGAATTTGAGTGCCGCAGCTTCCACGACAACTGTACCTTCACCGACGTCCGAAGAGGAACATCAGACATCATCCACCGTCGCAGATTTAGTCACAGCACAGAATAAAGCAAAGCGTCAACTTTATCATCTCACATACGATCATCCAGACCCTTATCAGGACGAAACGACATTCTATGCTTCAAAGCAACTTCAGCAAGCGGCAGCATCGCCGCAGCAGCAGCCGGCAGGCTTAGGATCAATGAGGCTTGAGCCAGAACTAAGAGCTAGACAGCCGGTCGCACCCGTGTATCAGCTGAGGACGAATTATTTGAATATTGTGCCACCAAATGCACCAGTTCAAAAACCACAGGTATAAAAATTTAGCCTGATGAACATTATAATTTATGGTTCTTTCCCTATAGTTGCCATAATATTATTTATCTAAATAATATTACGTAATTTTTATCAATTTTGTCATTTTATAACTTTCTTTTGATATCTTTTTATTTAGATTTACTCACAGCAAACCTCTCAATTGCCATCTATAGTTGTACCCGTAACTCAACAGCCCATCAGACAATTACCCAAATATCAATATCAGTTACCGGCAGCCACATATAAGCCACTCGCTTATTATAATTTGCAACAATATCACGCCCCAACTTATCAAAAAATCGATGGAACAAAGCCAATAGCCCTAGAAAGCCAAACAAGCTGTGCAGAAAAAAGTAATAATCAAGCGCACCTCCAACCACAACAGCAAGTTGTTGAAGAGCAATATGAGCAGTCGCCTCCGAGTGAATACCCAGCAGCGATGCTAGTAAATTTAGGCACGGCGCAGGGTCCAAAATCAGAAGCGTTAGTGCAACAAGGTCCACATCTTGCCCCTATACACGTCTATCAAGCCCCGAATGGCCAGTACAAAATTGCACCTCAGCTATATGGCGGCCCACAATTATTCAAACAAAATCCTCAGCAAATTGTACCAGCAGTAAGATTCCATTATTTGGAACATCCTAAAAAATCTAAACCAGTACAAGTTGTACTGAGAAAGAAAAATAATGAAGATGAGGAAGAGGAAGTTGTTCCAGAGAAAAAATCTCCAAAGAAGAAATACGAGGAAGTAGAAGAAGTTGATGATAGCAAAAAGCACCATTCCGATGATGACGATGATGATGATTCTAAAAGCAGCTATGAAAAAACTGATAATCGGGGAAGATCAAGCGATGACAGTTTTAAACCTTCCAAACATTACCCTTACGACGAGGACAGAAAATATTCCAGAAAGCATCACAGTAAATCCAGTAGCGGCGAATTTACAAAACATTACGGTGATGACGATGATGAAGTAATTAAAAGTAAACCCAGCAAATCATCTGATAAAAACAGAGAATACAGAAAATCATCCAGTCACCGTAGCGGTAATAATGATGGTGATGAAACCAAAAATGTAGAAGTATATAAAGAAAACCCAGTGCCAATATTACAAAAGATGCTTCCAACCGAATTTAAACAAAAAAAAGTATATAGGGAAAATTGGTATATAACGAAGAGTATACAAAACTAGAAAAAGTAGAATTATTAGATACTGATTTGTTATTTACTATGTTTTGTATGATATCACATAATTATTGTTATGTATTTTTGTAATACCTATTCTTATACAATCAAAATAAACGGAATGAAAGTTTATTGAGTTTTTTTTACAGGAAATTATCATGTGTTTAGAATGGTGGTAAATTACGTGGAGAAAGTTTGAAATCTGCTTCAGTATTTTGTGTTAAAAAGTATTATCTATACTTCGCCTTACGGGATGTTTTTTGCATAAAACAATCTGAAAGTGCGAACAATAATTCCACATTATAGCGTCTATGGCTTTGATACAGAATGGGGGATAGTACGGCCGCATATTTACGATATGTAACATTGTTCCGGAAACGTAACAGAATCAATCAATTCCTGCTATGTACGCAAAGTTAATTTAATCTCCGTATTTCAACAGAGGATAGCTATTGTATAATGTCTGTAATTTACCACTGAAATTAGAATTGTGTGCGGATATATACATATATCTACACACTCACACATACGGATGCTAAACAAGCAACATTTCTATGTATTTCAAGTAAAAAGACTCTTTTGATGGAACGTGTCTAGTTCCGAAATATCGTAATTAAACATTTTCAAAAAACTAATTGTTTTTTATATATTAGATTAATTGTTCGGAAAAGAAACATATATCACTTCATTGAAAAAATCAGGACTTATCATACTTTCACAGCACAGTCAATGCCTAAAATGCAGCAACGTAGAACAAGTTTAATATAACAGTTATTTGAAAATAAAAATCGAGTGAAAAGTGAACTAGGAAGAAAACGAATGGTAAATTAAATATAATATTCTTACACTATAGAGTTGCATTCGGGAGTGAAAAAGTAGTAAAAGATCCTACTCTAATCCAGACTTGCAGTCATTGCTATAAACTTTAACACATTGCAGAAAATAAGGGTAGTTATTATTATCCACGTATGTTCTTCATTGTTCACAAATTCATATCCAATTACATAACCTACGTAATAATATCAAATTTACAGCAGGGACGTTTTCGTCACAATGCGGCACCAAGTTGCTGGAAGATTACTCTTAAATCAGTGCCGAAAGGTAAGAATTTTTTTGTACATTTTCAATTACAATCTGTCACACTTAGGACATTCAGTAATTGTTTTGACTTAATCTTTTATTTTTTGAATAGATGGCAACCCAGTAGTTGTCCAATTCAATTATGACTAATTAACATACTCGTATTTGCTGACATTTTTATTATACCTATATATGCACGAGAGACGATTTTTACTTGAAGCTATATTTGAGATCTATAACTTCAAGAGGAAATTTGACATCAATATTGCCTGATGTCGGGTTTCGGCGGCAGCGGGAATCGAACCAGTGAACCCGGGACTAGTTGGTGCTAGCCCACGTTTGAACCGATATCGCAACCGCTGGCCAAAAGGTAAGAGTTTTAATAAATTTTTTTTATATAAATACAGAAAAACCCGTTTTCGTGCGATCCTTTTTATCGCGATTTTGTTTTTGTACATATTTTGTGCAATTTATGTTTACGCTTTGAATACAGAGTTTTATCCACGATTCACGTGATTAAAATCAAGTATTTTTAACTTCCCGTAGAGTAGTGGGCCCGAAAATCAAAAATGATTTTTTTTGCATTTTTCGACGTTTTGAAGTTTTCAGAACATTTTGGCATACCTCAGAAAAAATGGATGTGTGTGTGTGTTTTGTATATCCGCATTGTTTTATCCACGTTTTCGGGCGCACGGATCAACCGATTTGAATTGTTCAAAAAACATTCGATTCCTACCGCTAGGGAGATGTGCTGATTAGTTTTTGGCAAAGGCAGGTCCAGCCGTTGCAGAGATACGGAGCAAAGAGTGCAGAAAATACAAATCGAGTTTTTGAAAAATCGGAGTAACCAATTTGAATGACATAAAAAACATTCAATTTGAAATGATTAGAAGAGGTGATTAATTTTTGGTAAGGCAGGTCCAGCCATTTAGAAGATACAGAGCTAACTGTGCAAAAAATTGCAGTTTTTGAGAAAAATAAACGCCCAATTTGAATGATTCAAAGAACTTTCTGTTTATTTAAACAAAATAATTGTTTTTGGAAAAAAAAAATTGACTCAATTTTTTTTTCAAAAATTTTTTTTTGTATATCGAAAATAATTGAGATTTTAATTTTAATTCTGTTCTAATATACTTTAAACAAATAATTTAAACTTTGTAATTCTTTATAAATACTAGACAATGTTATAATATTTATATTATTTATTATTATATTATTATATTTGATATTATCTACGATCCGAAACCGGTATAACCGATCCTTGCACAATGTATGATTGAATCGCATTCTACAAAATATTGAAATCAATTTTCTATCGATGTCTAATCTTTTATTAAACCGTGTATTGAGTTTCGGAGATGGATTAATTGCAGCATATTGCCCATTTTTATTTCAGAATCATGCATATAATGAACAATATGAGTGGTCTACCAGTAATATTAAAAATAAGGTTATAAATAATTTAACTGCTGAATCATTTTGATCGGCTACCTGCGCACCTGATCGGCTGCAATCGGCCAGACGTTACGCAGTCACTGATCTAGATTCAGTTACACTCAGCGTTGAGTCGGGGTAGGTCGCTTCTGTATTGGTTTTCTACCATAACCACGTGCTCGGCGAGACGACGAACTTCCAAAATGATATTCGCTTAATTAAGGCTACACTTACATAATGCCATCAAGGACAAACTGCCGCCATTCATGCTCAGCAGTAAGCAAAGGTAACAATGCCACTTTTTAATTTAAAATTTCTTCCCTTTTAATACGACGCTGTTAATCGGAAAATCATTAAAGCTTATTTATACTGGCAATTGCCGCATTATCGTGAATACGATCTATTTTTAATAACTTTCTTGATGAGAAAAGTTGAGGGATTGTTCAAAGGCTTAATGAAGTTCCATGTTTCAAACGTTCGCAATACTTTTGATTTTGTTATACATTACTTCATTATTCTGAAGTACTCTGGCTTTGTTGAATATTTTAAACGGTATAATGCATAACTATATGCGCAATTTACATTTAACTTATACATGTATATATATATATATATATATATATATATATATATATTATATATATCTCGGTCTACCACCGATATCTCAAAAACAAGTAAAATAAAAAAAAACTAATTGGGTGCATGGCATCGTGCCTCAAGGCAAATTGCTGGAACTTTCCGTACCGTAACAAAATGTTCGAGGAATATTAAATATTTTCAAATAGATTATTATAAATACTGTAACATTGTCTTATATAAACTGAATTGCAAAATTGAAATTATTTGTTTAAATATAAGAACTTTAGGCCAAATTAAAATTAAAATCCGAATTGTTTTCAATATACAATAAAAAATTTTTTTGAAAAAAAAAATTAAAAAAAATTTTGAAACAAAAATTTTTGTTTCTAAAAACAATTATCTTGTTGAAAAAAGCAGAAAGTTCTTTGAATCTTCAAATCGGACGCTTAGTTCTTTCAAAAACTGCAATTTTTAGTACATTTATTTCTGTATATTTGAAATGGTTGAACCTGCCTTTGCCAAAAACTAATCACATCTTCTCCCAATCATTACAAATTGAATGTTTTTTAGATAATTCAAATCGGATACCCCGTTCTCTCAAAAACTCGATTTGTATTTTCTGCACTCTTTGCTCCGTATCTCCGAAACGGCTGGACCTGCCAAAAACTAATCAGCACATTTACCTATCAATAGGAATCGAATGTTTTTAAAGAATTCAAATCGGTTGATCCATGCGTCCGAAAACGTGGACCAAAAATTTTATCCATACATATCCATTTTTTCTGAGGTATGCCAAACTGTTCAGAAACCTTCAAAACGTCGAGAAATGTAAAAACTTTCAATTTCGATTTTTGGACGATTACAATAACTTACCCTACGGGAAGTTAATTAACAATATTTGAAAGGCACATTCATCCTGTTTTATAAAACCTCGATAAAATCTTACACGTGGGTGGGGTATAAAGGACCAACCGAATCTTTAACCTAGCAAAGGTGTAAACAATTGAAAATAGAAAATAAAAAGTAAATAAAAGTACAAAAAACAATTTTGCAAGAGATAAATGAAATGAATAGTTATTCCAACTCCGCTTATAAGTATTTCTGACGAAATATCAGACCAAGGTTATATACAGTAAACAGTGTTGTCTGGGTACATTACCCAGAAAATTTATATTTGGTATTGGTTGAATAATTTAGCTATTATTTTGTAAACTTGTGAAATTAAGAATAAGACCTACTTGCGTCCTGGCCGTTCCATTTTACCCCGCCTGTTTGTTTGTTGTGAAATAATTAGTTTTTCACAAGAAAATTGTTAAAATTTGATAATAATTCGAAACAATAATAATTATTATGGGCATTACTGCCCTAGGGCATGTCCGTGAGCTCAGATAAACTTCAACTCTCGTCAGGGAAAAATATTGTTCATTTTCCATTACCATTTTAGACCGTAGTACGCGAATTAGGCTATTTTCAATTATTTCATATATTTTTGATCTATATTTCAAAGTGAAAATGAACATCGCTACTGCGTGATGCCCATATATAGAAAAGGTTGGGAAGTAATTACGGCTTTTGCTCTTAGATGGTTTAATTGATTTCTTTGGTTTGTTGGCGTAGTTCAATTGTAAGATACTTTTTGTTATTGGATAGTAGTCAATTCAGCTGTCAATCAACAAAAAAAGTTTCTTGATAGATAGCGTAATTTTCGTTTGTCGATAGTTGAAAGATAAAAAATCAAATAATTTTTAACTGTCTTTAAAATTAATTAACTGTCACAATTGTTTGTCAAATTTCATTCTGGTGATATTCTCTCAAGAATGAAAAACGCTTTGGTAGTCCAGTTGAAGTTGATGTATGAATTGTCTTCTCTTACTACCCAAATGAACGATCAATTCGGTTTCTTACATTGATAAA